CGGCGCTGCGTACATCAGGCGGGTTTGCAAGATGCACTTAGGGTCGTCGATATACCGCCCCCCAATTTGAAGCGGCAATTGGTCCGTACTCGAGCGTATGATCGCATCTGCTTGACCCCAAGGTGCATAGTTTGCCCATTTAGTAGAGAGGGAGATTGTATGGTGTCAGGAGTGATTTATCTTATCACATGCCTATCATGTGGGGACACACACATCAGGGAGACTGGACGCCCACTCTGCATCCGCGTGAAAGAACACTTGGACGGGCTAATCAAATGTAAGATCTCTACACCCTTAGGAAAGCATCGCTTAGTACGCCATAATAACGATGTTATACAAATTGGAGTGAAGATCTTGTTGCATGAACCTGAAATCCTTGCGCGCAAGACGTTAGAAGCGTTTTGGATCACCGCCAAAAGTCCATGAACCGGAAGGAACAGGCATCGATATCACCAACGAGTTAGCGCCTTATCAATCCCTCTGTGGATTTGAGGTCAGGTTATGAGGGCACACATAAAAATAGCTGAGGTACAGTACTGGTATAGGTGCTCTGTCCATGAACACCTCGATGGCTATCTTCTAAGGTCAGTATCTGGTTTCTCGAAGCTTTGGTGATGTTTTAACTGGTTCTCCTTACGAATTATATCCTAAGTCTTGTTGTTGACGTCTGAGAGGACAGATTACTCATGACTTCGACTTTCCAGGCTCCGACGAAGGCGAAACCGCCGAAACGTTAACGTCAGCCAATGAAGATCAGTACCAATCTTGGCCAACTGCCAAACAATCTAACTGAAGTTTTGCAAATGCCAAGATTCAACAACAGCCGAGCACAGAAAATCATATATCATTGCGAAGGCTTTGAAATGTACATTTGAGCTGACAACTGTGCAACATTCAAAGTGAATAAAATTTTTAAAAAATGTGTTTTTTTTTGTTCTTTTTCATTTCTGGGACAAAGTTTCAAGGCCTGTTTTCTCGCTTATAGGCATATCTTATTTACGATGTTGACAACTGTGCAACTCCAGTTTTTGATTTCCAGCGAACTGTTTTTGAAGGTCTCACTAAAGAACCAGTATTTCTCTTCATCACTTTTTATGATTTACTGTGGGTAGACTTCTCGAATTTGAAATCATTCTGTTCGCAACATTGCGCTGTAAAAAGCTGACAACAGCGTAACTTTTAGAACTCATGCTTTATGGAGAGGAAATTTGCAATAATGGTGTTTTTTCGAAGTTGCTTTCTCTCAAACAACAAAAGGACTTATTCTACTTTTGATCTCTTCTCAGCACTCAATTCTAACTTTTGAGATCATACCATGTCTCCCATGTAACTACTCTCGTTATCATATAAATCTCTTTTCTCTCCGCGTTTCCCCCTTTTCCGCTCTTGGTTGGCCTAGAAGAAAATATACGTGAAATGCGCTAAGGTCAAATTTCAAAAGACCCTTCTGGGATTGAGACTCCATACGTGACGATTGTAGCCTTAGATTGCGATGACCTCCATGCATAAGGTGCATACTGATT